TTTTCCCACCTAGTGGTGTATTGGCCAAAGAGGGAATAGGTATTAAAGAGTTTATTGTAGACTGTGGGCTTTGGGGAGAAAAAGTAGGGGCATTGTAATTCCAGTGCCTGGGGGTCCTACAGATTAGAAGATCACTTCTTTGCACTCTGTTCTGATCGAAAAGCCTACTGCAATCCGCAGAAGGGAGGCTATGTTCTTTCGGCCTGTTATTCCCGGTGATCAGAAGCTCAAGATCTCCTCTGTAGTAGGAACACTTGCTGCGGCAGAGACCTTATGTGCCTATAACTTCAAAATCAAATTGAGGACTTTTTGAGGAATAGAGTGGAAAAAGGAAAGCATAGAAGTCTAGAAAGGGACCGGGATTGGACCCCTGTTCCACTTTCTCTCCTGACACCCAACCTCTAAAATCCAGCCAGAACTCAAACCTGAGGATTTTCTGAACTGGGGGAGGTCAGACCATTCAAACATCTGAAGTTCATGGGCTCAGACTCCTCCTTTAGCCCTTGGCATTGGAAGTAAGGGTGGCTTATTATCTGTTCCTGTGCAAATGAGCTGGAAAGCGCTTTGGGCTCACAGACTCCACTTAACACTATTGAAGTGCTGGTCCCTTTTCAGCACTTTTCCTCAGCTCTGCATTGTCCCAATGATATTTAATTGAGTGCTTGAAAAGACCCAGCTTTTCCATGCCTTTCCACAGTATCCTACGTCCAGTTATTCTGTGTGAAACTACCACAACCTTCCTCATGTCCTCTCTGCACCCTGCTTTTCCAAGCCTTTCCCTCAAGGTCTGATGCCTCTGGCCAGCCCTGAGCTGGGTTCTGTATTCCTTCTAGAATCTTCCCAGCTCCACCAGGAGATTGATGTCGCTTAGACTTGGGAACTGGAAAGCCACGATTCAGGGTGTGAGTGACCTGGTTAGGAAGGAAGCAGCTGTTGGGAGTTAGAATAACAGCAAGGATGTTTTCTCAAATTTACCCACAAGGAAGCTGTGAGATGTGAGACCAAACGTCTTGATCAGGGGCTCCAAGCTGTCCACACTGGCGTTGGTCCAACTAGAGACTTTCTGACACGCAAACCAGGGCTCTTGTCTATTTTAAGCCCTGTTGCTTCTGGCTATTTCCTGTGGTTATAAAAAAGCACTGATGAGGATGAAACAGGGTACTGAATTTAACAATAGTAAATCCGTAAATAAATAGAGGAAGACAGAAGAGGAAGAGAGGAGAGCCAAGGCAGGGAAAGAGCTGAAGGAGTGAAAAAGGACAAAATGTCAAGTGCATGTAAAACCAACTTAATCCAAGACGCTTGTTTCCTGCGACCTCACCCAGGCTTTCGTAGATTCGAGGAAGTCTCCATGTGACTTCCCTGGTTTTTCTAACTCGGTCGCAGAGGTGATGTCACTATGATATTATGCAGAAAGGGCTCTGGGCAACATGTGGCCCCAAGAATAAGTAAGGTGAAGATCACGGGCAGCTTATCCACCTCTGTAGAGATGAAGCCCTTCTGCTCCCTTTGGAGTTTTCTTAGTGGAACAAAGATTCACTCAACGTCCAAGGGTAAGAATTTACAGTGTGTATAATCTAAGAAGCAAGCATAGGTCGAACTGTGGGACATAAATATACACCCTGCAATTTATTGAGTGACCAAGCCACAGGTCAGTACTGGTTCCCAGTTTTTTCAGAACTCCGTCCTACCTGATTGCTGCCTCCAACTTAGAATTGGGGATATGAACGTCGACCGAATGCTCAAGATGCGTTGAAGAATCACCTGTTCTTTTTGTTCACCCATTACCATTCCCTTCTATTATTTCGCACAGATGCAAATGCATAGCCCTCAGGATTTAAGAGAATGAATAGTGGCACCTTGCACGGGTCTCAGGAAAACCAGGAGAATCAGAACCAGCATTTCCCACATTTCCTACATGAGCACCAAGAAGGTGAACATCAGATAGACTGCGTTGATGAAAAAAAGACAAAAAACTGATTCGTACTAGTTCTTTATTTCTTTTTTTAAATGTTTATTTATGTAACATTTAAATGTTTATTTATGAAAGATAGAGTGTGTGAATGAGCAGAGAAGGGGCAGAGAGTGAGAGAGAGAGAATCCCAAGCAGGCTAGAGTCCAACATGGGGCTCAAACTCATGAACCATGAGATCGTGACCTGAGCCGAAATCAAGAGGCAGATGCTTACCCAACTGAGCCACCCAGGAGCCCTGGAACTAGTCTTTAAAAACGTTTAGCATTCTTGAAGATTCTATTTTAAATAACTGTGAATGTTTCTCGGCATCAGAGGATCTTTGCTGCAGTCTAGGTGAGGTGCAATTAAGGATTCAGCCACAGCAGAGCACTAAATTATAAATGTCCTTTGCTCTGTAACTATAAATTCAAGGAGCTGTAGATTCAGAGAAAAGCCAGCCAACTGTTAGAAATGTTGCACTACTTAAGTATTTATCCGAGGGATACAGGTGTGCTGTTTCGAAGGGGCGCATGAGCCCCAATGTTTATAGCAGCGCTATCACCGAGAACCAAAGTTTGGAAAGAGTCCAAATGTCCATCAGTGGACGAATGGATAAAGAAGATGTGGTATATATATGCAATGGAGTATTACTCAGCAATCAAAAAAAACGAAATTTTGCCATTTTCAACTACGTGGATGGAACTTGAAGGTATTATGCTAAGTGCAATTAGTCAGAGAAAGATAAATATGTGACTTCACTCATATGAGAACTTAAGACACACGAACATAAGGGAAGGGAAGCAAAACTAATATAAAAACAGGGAGGGGGACAAATCATAATAGACTCTTAAATATAGAGAACAAACAGAGGGTTACTCGAGGGGTTGTGGGAGGGGGGATGGACAAAATGGGTAAGGGGCTTTAAGGAATCTACTTCTGAAATCACTGTTGCCCCATATGCTAACTAACTTGGATGTAAATTGAACAATAAATAAATTAATTAATTAAAAAAACATTTTATCATACAAGTTTTCAGTGAATTTTTATTCACTGAAATAACACATCCAAGGAAACACAAGCCAATAAAATATTTGAGGAACAAAAAGGGAAAAAAAAGAAAGAAAGAAATGCACTTCTGGGGGCACCTGGGTAGCGAGAGATAGTTATGTAAATAGGTATTTGGGTTGACTCAATTCTATTTTGTGTGGTATAGACAAGAATGTATGCCTCTGAGTCATGCTCTAGAACTGGAGTCAGAAAACAAGTTAAGACTTGACTCATCTAGTTCTGGAGAATTTCCATAAGAATGGTCTTATTATCATTTCCTGCTCCTGAGGTTTACACAATAAAGTTGGCCATCACCTCATTTATGCGTTAGCTTTCAACTGGGGTGGGAAAAACAACATGACATACTAACTCCAGTCCTGAGTTCTAAGGTGATGATTGTGAAGACAACGCCCTGTGGGGACCCAGCGGCACCGTGGAAATGTTAGGCGATGATGGTAAATGCAAGATACAGAGTACACACTGGCATTGGGCCGGTGTTCTCAGTAAAAGTCAGAATGTATGGGCAAGAGGTAAATAGACTGCCAGACACGAAAACACTGTGTTTACAGTCTGAAATATCGTTGTCTTAAAAAAGTTTTTAAAAATGTTTATTTATTTTTAAGAGACAGAGAGCGCACAGGAAAGGCAGAGAGAGAGAGAGAGAGAGAGATGGAGATACAGAATCTGAAACAGGCTCCAGGCTCTGAGCTGTCAGCACAAAGCCCGACGCAGGGCTGGAACCCACCAGCCGTGAGATCGTGACCTGAGTTGAAGTCAGATGCTTAACTGACCGAGTCACCCAGGCACCCCTATTATGTTGTCTTTATAACTAAGATGCATTGAGAAAATAGATACGTTGAATGAACCTATGTCTAGATACACAAATAAAGAAGAGAAATCCTCAATACTTGGAATCTCACACTAATGTGATCAGGGAAACAGAGAAATGAAAACTAGAGCTCTCTCGATCAATAAATATTTGATTGTCTGGCATGTGCAGACGTGTGGAGCTAGAAACAGATGAGGGATGGGAGCACAGTGCTAACACACCACATTTGCAAGTGGGCACAGAGTGCTTTCATACCCATATGCAGCAAACTACCAAATAAAGTCAAAGTGATCTGTGTTGACTTTGACAGATCTTCTAATGCGATAGGCTCACAGAGAAAAGAATAAGGAAACTGTCAAAAGGTCGCAAAGGAGAGGTGGTGATTGTGTCATTTTTTGACTCACATCAGGGAGTGACTTTTGTTCACTCTTCTCTCTACACCCCTATTTGCTGCTGGGCATGGCCATGAGCTGTTTATATATGTTATCTCATGACTGACCTGTGAAGGTGGTAAAATTCAGTTTTTACACAGGGACACTCCTCTGGAAGCGCTTGTCCACTTGTAAAGCCTCTCTCCTTGAGTTCTGGAACAATCCAGGCTGAGATAACTTTTCTCTCCTACCTCGAGAGGGTAACCAACTTGGGCTGGCGTGAAATCGACTTGACATTTCACTAACTTCAGTTCTAGCCTTAACAAAATTTTTGGGTAACCACAACCGCTCGGTTTGGGGGTATTTTTTTTTTAATTAACCTTTATTTGCCAGGTGCCCCAGTCACTTTGTGTAGTGAGTTAGGTGGTGACGTAAGTTTGCTAATGTGCCTTTTAAAGGACCTCACCTAGCAGCAGAGAAAATTAAACCCTGGAAAGAATTTGGCTCAGCACCCAGTCATATGCCTTGCTAAAACAGCACCCCCGGCCAATATAGGGAGGGGAGTGTGTGTGTGGAAAAAGACAGGGTTAAGCAATTAATTTTTAAGCACTAAATATTTATTGACAGAATATCTCTCCGGGCAGTGCTCACATGCTTAGAACCGAAGCTCTTAACTTGGCAGTGCTGTTTAAGCAAACAAAGTCAGCCAGTTGAACGCAATGATTAACAGGAAGTTGGGGAGCTGACAGTTGGCCAACCTTTGGCTGGGAGAAGAAGCGAGGGCAGAAATCGTACGGGGATGACTTGCAGAATGGTGACCTCACCCTTCAGTGATTTCAGTGTGGGGATAGGTGGACACATCAGAATCCGAGTCTTCCTGAGACGGCTTGTTTTTATGTGGTAACAGCTTACAGGTTCCCTGGAGACAGAGCGAAGCAGATCCCACCCCCCCCAACCCCCCCAGGAGCTACTTCAGAAATGTGTCACAGAGAAGGTTGAAATGAAACACAGCCGTGAATGAGCAGAAAAGAAGAAAGAAAAAGGACAAAACCGTCGACTGGAAGGGCACAGAGCAGTCGATCAGAATTGCGACTACAGAGAGCTTGATTTATGGATTCTGGAAGCCATGTAAGTTAAATATATCTGTGCTCTAATCGGATCTCAAGAGACATTTACTCACTTTCTGGCTTTGAATGATGATGCCCTGGAAACACTGTCTCTTTAGTGTGTCTCTTATCATGGCCCTGATTTTTGTATTTGTTTACAATAACGAGTTGTGGGAGGAGAGGCGTTTTCTGAGGGCATCTCTGTCGAATGCTTCCCTGTTAGCAGAAGTCTGTCATCAGGTTTTTAAGGGGAAGGTTTTTTACCCAACAGAGAATGCCCTGAAAACTACCTTCAGCGAATCTACCTGTCACGACTACGTGGCTCAAAGTCACTATATAACAGAAACTCTCTCTGAGGAGGAAGCCAGGTTCCCTTTGGCTTACACAATGACCATCCACAAAGACTTTGTCACTTTTGAGAGACTCTTTAGGGCAATTTACATGCCCCAGAATGTCTACTGCATTCACATGGATGAAAAGGCGACAGATCCATTTAAAAATGCGGTGAAGCAATTACTAAGCTGCTTCCCAAATGCTTTTCTGGCTTCGAAGATGGAGCCTGTAGTCTACGGCGGGATTTCCCGGCTCCAGGCCGACCTGAACTGCATCAAAGACCTCGTGGCCTCCAAGGTCCCATGGAGGTACGCCATCAACACGTGCGGGCAAGATTTCCCCCTGAAAACCAACAAGGAGATAGTTCAGTATCTGAAAGGATTTAAAGGGAAAAACATTACCCCAGGGGTGCTGCCTCCAGATCATGCTATTGGACGGACTAAATATGTCCACCAAGAACTATTAAACCAAAGAAATTCCTATGTGATTAAAACAGAAAAATTAAAGCCACCACCTCCTCACAACATGACCATTTACTTTGGCACTGCGTACGTGGCCCTCACAAGGGAATTCGCCAACTTCCTCCTCCAAGACCAGCATGCACTTGACTTGCTTTCCTGGTCCAAGGATACCTATAGCCCCGATGAACATTTCTGGGTGACGCTCAATAGGATTCCAGGTACGTGTGTTTCTTAGCCTTTGTTCTTATGAGTAAACATTGCATGATCCATAGTGAATAAACTGCTTTAAAAAGTAGTAAAAATAAAATGTTAATATGTCGAAGATTGTTACCATTTTAAATGTCAATTTAACAATAGTGATAGCAGTTCTGCTCATGATAAACTCATCTCCACTCCACAGATGAGAGAACTGAGGCACAGTGATTGTCAGGGCAGAGGTAGAGCTCAACCATCTGACTTGATTTGGCCGATGGGCCACGCTGCCCTCCTGGGTCCACAGACCCAATTCAAATATGCGCTACAGTTTTGAGACATGGCAAAGAATTGAGGGGAAACAGGCTGTGCATATGAAAGGATTAAACCCAATTCTCCTTTAAGTGTGATGTTCTTTACAATCAGGAGTATATCTCATAAAGTAAACTTGAGTGGCAGTTCGAACATTTTAATAATTCTTTTGCTTCGGTTGAAGCTCCAGGAGCTACATTCTCGTCCTTCAAAATGGGAGCAGGGTACGGCTTTAAAATATTTTATTTGCAAATTCTTTCCTGGAATCAAATCAGAAATTTAGAGCACCTTAAAGCAATGTGATTGCATGATGTGCTCAAGCTACCCAGCTAGTAAACCATCCTGACAATTACATAAATTAAGTCTCGTAAGCCTGGTATTCTTTTTCTTTCTTTTCTTTTTTAACGTTTGTTTATTTTATTTTATTTTTATTTATTTCTAGGAGAGAGAGAGAGAGAGACAGCATGAGCAGGGGAGGGTCAGAGAGACAGGGAGACACAGACTCTGAAATAGGCTCCAGGCTCTGAGCTGGCAGTCAGCACAGAGCCTGACGCGGGGCTCGAACCCACGAACCGCGAGATCATGACCTAAGCGAGAGTCGGACGCTTAACCGACTAAGCCACCCAGGCGCCCCAACGTTTGTTTATTTTTGAGAGACAAAGCATGAGGAGGGGAGGGGCAGAGAGAGAAGGAGACACAGAATCTGAAGCAGGTTCAAGGCCCTGAGCTGTCAGCACAGAGCCCGATGCGGGGCTCGAACTCACAAACCATGAGATCATGACCCGAGCTGAAGTCAGCTGCTTAATCGACTGAGCCACCCAGGCGCCCCAGCCTGGTATTCTTTAAAGCTGATTTCAATTAGATCTCAGTGGTTACTAAATTAACTGCACCTTCCCTGTGGTCTACGTTCTAAATGATTTGAATTATCTCAAGCCGTTTACAGTGAACTGATGCAGTCTGGCAAGTTCAATTCAAAATAGGAATTCAGATTTATCGTTCAAGGGAAATGTAACTGGAATCAATATGATGATCAGATTCATGGTTTCTAGACCTTATTGGTTCAACCCTGGATGCCTACTACATTCATCTGGAGCTTTTAAGACGACATTAAGGCCAAGTACCGTTTCCCAAAGGGCCTGACTTCTTGGGGGGACCTTGATTTAGGTGTTCATTCATTCAGTGTCCAGGTAATTCTCAGAGACAGCCAGGGCTGCGAACCATTCCAGATGCTTGTTTTAGATGTTGTTATACATAACTTCATAGATGTAGAATGCTTTTTTTTTCTCCCAACCACTTGAAAACAGCCTCTTTAGTTATTTTTAAGATTTGTTTTTAATTGAAATATAATTGATATGGAACATATTAGTTTCAGGTATAGAGCATGACTTGCTAATTGTAGATCTTGCAGAATGATCACCACTATAAATTTTATTTTTCTTGAGAACCTGTCTGTGTGTGTGATGAGAACTTTTAAGAACAGCTTTCTGAAGAGTAATTTTCAAATATATTGTTGGAGAGGAAAAATTTACCTCTTCTCTTCAAAGTTCTTCTGGCTGGTCTAAGAATTCATGTGACATAAGGGGACTTAACGGGAGGGGGAAAAACCCCAAAATTTAATTACGTGCGTGCGGAGACACAATAACGAAAGCAAGACCCCGAGAAATGAAGACTTCCAGCTTTTATACATTTTAGACAAAAAGACATAAGTCTGTGAGAAATTGACAAGACAAGATAAACTTATTTTGGGGAGCTTCAATTAGTAAGAAATTCTAAACAGGATTTGGGCTGAGGTAGTAAATTAATAAAAGTACCAAGGTTTGTTTATATATTCTTCTCTCTCTGAATTTCCTACCTCTGTTGATACAGGGAGAGTAGCTTTCACACGGGAGATTTATTTCCTGCTTTCTGGAGACAAAGGGGAGACGGGAGGGTCAGGATGTTGTTTTTGCACTGGCTCTTTCTTAAGTGACTTATATTCAAAATAATCAAAATGCCAAAATGGCCCAAAGTGGGCTGTCCTTGACCCTCACAGTACAATACACTATTATTAACTACAGTCGCCATGCTGTACATCCCCAGGCCTTATTTATTTTAAAACTGGAAGTTTGTAACTTTTGACTACCCTTACCCCTTTTGCCTACCCCACCCCCCACCTCCCACCTCTGAAAACCATCAGTTTGGTCTCTGTGTCTATGACTGTTTTGCTGGTGGTGGTGGTGGTGGTGGTGGTGGTATTTTTCCTGGATTCCACATATAAGCGAGATTATAAAGTATTTGTCTTTCTTTGTCTGACCTACTTCATTTAGCATAATGTCTTCGAGATCCATCCATGTTGTCATGCATGGCAAGATTTCATTCTTTTTAAAATTTTTTTATGGCTGACTAACATTTATATGTGTATAACACATCTTATTTATCCATGTTCCACTTATGGACACTTGGGTTGTTTCCATGTCTTGGCTATTGTAAATAATGGGGCAGTGAACATGGGGGACCCTATCGTTTTCATCTAGTGTTTTAATTTTTTCAGATTATATCCAGAATTTCAGAAAATATCCAGAAGTGGGTTGTTGGATCATAGGATAGTTCTATTTTTAATTTTTGGAGGAACCTCCATATTGTTTTTCCATGGTGGCTGCACCACCTTACATTCCTGCCAACAGTACAAGAAGGTTCCCTTTTCTCCACACCCTCACCGAGACTTCATATTTCCTGTCCTTTGATAATAGACATTCTAACAGGTGTGAGGTGATATCTCATAGAATGCCTTTTTAAATGTGGCTTCCTGAAAGCTGGAAGGGATGATGTTATAGTGATAAAGAAAGCAGGACTCAAGAAAGTGATTTGTGCGATGTAGACCATTCAGGTATAATCACCATGCTTTAAGGGAGGCATTGACAAAGCAGCTTCCAAAGATAGTGGCCAAGAAGGATAAAGGGCCAAACCCCATTTTTTTTCTCTACAAAGGACCAAGACAAACAAAAAGGATATTCGATCTGAAAAAGATTTGAAGAAGAGTCGCTATCTTCACATAAAGAAAAGATTCGTGCACTTGGAAGAAGAATCCAGGGTTAGTGGTGGGAGATATAAAAACCCATCAATCTGGGATCAGAATGGGTAGTTTCCTCAGTGGTGCACAAGCCCAAGAGACATGTAGAAACAGAGAAGGAGAAATGCTTTACAGGCGGCTCATTTATCAAGTGTTGGACAAGGTGGCCTTGTCTTTTCCACTCTGAGGGGTCTGTGGTTCTTTTTTTTTTTTTTTAATCTTTTATTTATTTCTAGGAGAGAGAGAGAGAGACAGCTGAGCAGGGGAGGGTCAGAGAGAGAGGGAGTCACAGACTGAAACAGGCTCCAGGCTCTGAGCTGGCAGTCAGCACAGAGCCTGACGCGGGGCTCGAACCCATGAACCGCGAGATCATGACCTAAGCGAAAGTCGGCTGCTTAACCGACTAAGCCACCCAGGCGCCCCTGAGGGTCTGTGGTTCTAAAGGATGATTCTAATTAGACACCCTGCCTTCTCAACCTGATTTATCTATTGTAAATGGATTTTTTTTTAACATTTATTTATTCTTGAGAGAGAGTGTGAGCAGGGGAGGGACAGAGAGAGAGGGAGTCACAGAATTCGAAGCAGGCTCCAGGCTCTGACTCATCAGCACAGAGCCCGATGCGGGGCTCGAACTCAGGAACTGCGAGATCATGACCTGAGCTAAAGTTGGCTGCCTAACTGACTGAGCCACCCAGGCACCCCTGGAAATGGATTTTTCACCTCCGGTTAGCAGTTACAGATCAGTGAAGCAATGGAAAACAAATGTACTGCTCCATGCTTTTCAAAAACTTAGAAGAGTGAGCCCTTGAAGTATTTTCTGTCTTCCAGAAAAGAAAGCCAGTGCCCCCTCCCTGGTACAGCCAGCTCATGCCTGAGTATAGGGCTTGGTCATGAGGAAGAAAAGGAACTGAAACCTTAAGTGGCTGTCTTGTTTAACTACTGCTCCTGCTGTGTGCAAATCTGAGTCAGTTCTGGTTTGAGGTCACTTCTAGTTGACATATGAATCGGCTGATTGGTTGTTTAGGACATTTCAAGATTGTTGTAGTTGACTGTAGTGATGGGGGGCTTATCAGGATTCTCAAAAAAGTAATAGTTCAGGAAAAAAAATCTCACAGACAAAATGGCCTCATGGGGAGCTAGAGCAATGCTACCCCATAGAAATATACTGTGAGCCATAAGTGTAATTTTATTTTATTTTTATTGTTTATTTTTTATTTATTTTTGACAGAGAGAGAGAGAGAGAATGAGTGGGGGAGGAGCAGAGAGAGAAGGAGCCATAGAATCAGAAGCAGGCTCCAGGCTCTGAGCTGTCAGCACAGACCCCAACGTGGGGGCTCGAACCCATTGACTGTAAGATCATGACCTGAGCCAAAGCCGGATGCCTAACCGACTGAACCAGCCAGGTGCCTCCGTAAATGTAATTTTAGATGTTCTAGTAGCCACATTAGAAAGCAAGCAAAACAAACAGGTGACATTAATTTAAGTAATATATTTGATTTAACCCCGTATACCCCAAATATCATCTGCACATGTGGCTGGTAGCTACGTACTGGGTATGCATGTACCAGGTGCCCTCCTTGCTCTGGGTGAAATGATCGGATGAGAGTAATGCCATCCAAGCAGCATTGAGAAGTCAGCCATGCTTGTGTCTCAGCATCTTCATCC